CAACTCCGGCCCTCCAGCTGTACTTGAAGTACAAAATCCCAACATGCCTCTGCCATTGAGAGTCATGCCTGTACCTGTCAGTCTTGCAATGCCTCATGGGACTTGCTGTAGTTCAACAACAGCAGGTGGTCCAGGTGCCCACCCTTGGGATAGACAGAAAGGGCGGATGTGGACGACCATTCGTGCTCAATGCTGCGTTCACTATTTAAATGCTGCGTTTACCAATAAAAGGCTCCATTTCATCTGCTTTATCTGCAGTTCAAATGCACCTCAATAAGACATGCTGCATCCAATGAAATGCAGCGCACAGCAGGTCACATACAGCGTCTGATCTGCCCTGTGTACTGTGTAATTGAAGCCAATGAATGTGCTCTGAATGCAGGAAAACTACGCAGGGCACCATGAGCCCAAAAGGTAACACAGAACCCATATATAGATTGGACTGTGTATTTTGCTGCCTGCCCGGAGTTCTGCTTTTTCAGTTATGTGATCACAAAAATGACATTAAATGCCTTTAAAATGCAACTAGTATAAAATCCTGACATCTGCATTTATAGTGTCTTCCCACCATACCACAGCACAGCAGAAATCAGTCTAAGAGTGGGAGGTTATATGTGGGCCAATCAAACTGCTTCGCTGTGTGCAGCTGACACTACCGTCCCTCACTCCCTCCATACATAGACTGCTGTGCCGGGTATTATAGGAAGCCAGTATGAAACCAGTGTGGGGGTACTTACTCTAACATTGTTTTAACAAACACATAGCAGGATGACTTCTGATTGGTTGATACAGGAAACTGGAGAACACTGCCCTTGGCACTTATTGAATAAGACTAAAAGGGTCAAGGTGCAAAATCACGGAAGTGCTGACTAGTCCGATAACAACTTGCCACAGTTTAATCATCCAGGCCGATTCATACAAACAGATTTGTGACTGATGGCTCCAATAGCAATGTTACTATATGAAAGTCCGAGGAAGCCGGCAGTGGGCAGAACTCACAATGGGCAATGTAGACTGTGTGGTCTATGGCCAAACACAAGCAACCGAGGCCCTAATTTTACTAAGCCACACCCCTACATCACATGGTTTTCTGCCTCTGCTCATGCCACAGGATCAATAACCCTCAATGTGACTTATACATTAGAGCTACAATCAGAGGAAATGTTCTAGGAATTTGTATCATTTCAGCATGGCCGTCAGCCAGATCTGACCCATAACCCAAAACAATTGTTTCAATTAACAGCAATGTAATTACAATAGAAATCAGCTTTTGTTTGCTCATAGACATACATTTTAACAGATTGATCCCGGAAAGTCAATCAAGGGCCATCCAATCAAAATGGATATTTCATTCTGCGAGATCTTCACATCTCTGTTCCCAGCTCCGCCAACCTTCTAGAGTCCAATGTTGGATTATTCTCCTATACTTGTAGAACGCAGTAGGGGGAGTGAGACTGCATGCCGGGGAGGAATCCCAACAGATTCTGACACTGCAGTCCCCAGGATTATAAGAAGCTGGAGGAGAATGCAGCCCACCAGTGTCCAGGTAAAACCGAAATACCAATTTTTGGATGGACTGACCCTGCCATAACACCTCTATTTAAGCTTGGCTATATAGGTTACAATATTAGTGTAATCTTCTCCTTCCAATCAGGCAGATCCTTGCACTACATTGTAGTCATTGGAAGACATAAAGACGATTGTACAATTAGATTGCGACATGTATGGTCAGCTTAAAGCTAGATGCCAGGCAAGACTTTATTCTTCTGGTTTTCTGTGGGAAAGGGTTAGCTATTTGTGTCCTCAGTGGTGGGATTTACCCTCACTTCCTGTCCCAGTGACAAGGCGACCACAACAAGTAATGGGATAGTTCTCTGATGAGGAGAGGGGCAGCAACTCATTTACTTAGTGGAGTGGGGAGAGGTTGGAATATAGCAGATTCTTATTGGCCTATGTTTCTTCTAGTGACACCTGCACCCTCTTACTTCTTGTCCCGATGTCACTGGAAGGGGGGGGGGATTTCTCCAATAAGGACAGCAATCGAAATATGGAACATGCATTACTAAGGCACTAGATTCAACTTGTACATGAATTATGGTTGAAGAAGGTGAATCAGTCAAATAGAGAGTCCCAGCGCACTCCTGACCGAGAAGCCCCATACAATGTGGGGGGGGAGGGGGTGCTGAAGTGGCCGCAGATGGCGCGGCCAAATACTTGCACAGTAGAAAAATGGTCACCAGCACTCCAGGTTTTCTTCAAAACGAAATCCTTTTATTCATTGTCATCACTTTTGTTTGCCTGATGAAGGGAACGGAAAGGTTCCGAAGCGTTGCCACGCATGGTAATGTGACCTGTGAGAATAAATAAAAGGATTTCGTTTGGAAGAAAAGCTGGAGTGCTGGTGACCATTTTTTTGCTTTTCAGTCATATAGGGTGCATTGGTTCTGATCTAAAACCCTCATCAGGTTATTTTTTTCTATCTGTGTCCCATTGGGGAAATCTCTGCTCTCAGCACAAACAGGGTACCCCTTCCCTAGGGGTGCAAAGGTCTCCAAGTGTAAAGTTCAGTGACAACCAAGTCCAAAACCTTCTAATGTTGGGGTTTATTCACAGCAAGACCATATGAAACAGCCAAAGTGTTTTGGGGGTAACAAAGATCTCCCCCTTCTTCAGGGGGTCCTATATTGTATATCTGGGTAGGCAAACTCCGACCCTCCAGTTGTGGTGCAACTACAAATCCCATTGAGGCCCTTTACCCAGATCTTTGAAATAACAACAAAGACACCTTTAGAAATGTTTAGTGATGACAACCTACCAACACATACTTCTAGATAGTTGCCGGCTTTGTATTCTTTATTTCTCTTTTCTTCCCCATTCTTCTGACAGTGGCCAATTTTACTAAGGGCAGGTGAACCCATCTCCCTTCACTTCCTGGCACTCTGGCACATGTGACTAGGACATGTGACCATGCACATCAGCTCAGGGGAAGAAAATACCTTTCCCTGAGATCTCATGAGATTACAGATGAGATTTCCCTGCAATGCTCTGCAGATGTGACCTTCCCAGGATGCAACTCTTGGGCACATTACATCACTAATGCCCAAGAGGACGAGGAAGCGGAAAAACAATACTTGTAAGTAAAAGAAAAATATGTTTGTTTAACTAGTGAATGTAAGATGACGCCATATCAGCATGCAGAGCTGCGTACCGATGTGAGTTTTCGTGAAAGGGGGGGTAAAGGTCAGCTTTCGGTACTGGAAGACCGACTGCCGCAGGTATGACTTTCACCACAGCTGGGAGGGCCGGAGATTTCCTACCCCTGTTGTATATACTCGGGAACACCCAAAATGGCGCAATTAATGGGCAGATCAAAAAAGTGAGATGCGCTTCCCATTTTTTTGCATCTTCCAGTTAATTGTGGTGACTGTCTTCTTCCTCTTCCTAATAATGATTTGTGGTGATTGTGCCATTTCCTCCCACGTAGACAATATTTGAGCCCTGAAGGGGGAGAGCTTTGTACCCCATAAACCCGTGGGCTGTTTTATATTGTGCCGTTGTAAACAAACAACAAAACAGTATTAAATGATTTCGGACTCATTTTTGGTCTGCCGCTCTTTGGATTTTTCTTTTTTACAAGCAATAAACACAAAAAAGACCGAAGTTATTACTCTTACCCACGCCATGGAAAACAGGGGAAAAAAAAGGAACTTTTGGCTCGAGTTTGATTTTCAGAGAAGTTGCATTCTGGGTTAAAGTGTATGTATAGCAAAAACATTTTGGTTTATTTTTGGACAGTCAGCAAGGGCTAAAACCGCTAATCAAGTTCCTTTTTGCCATCTGTGTCCTGTTGGGACATTTTTCTCTTTACTTCCTGTCCCCAAGATGCAAAATGAAATAGGAAAATCTCCCCAAAGTGAGGCGAATTCCCTTTTATACAGGTGTCCCCATTGGAACGTTTATCCTTACCTCTTGCTCTGGTAACAACTCTACAACGGTTTCGGTGATCATGACTAAGAGAAGTGGAATCTCCCCAGCGGAGACACAGACAGCAATAAAAACCTAACCGAGAGACAAACCCTTCCGCATTCTATCCAAAACTGAAAATTGAAGTTTTCCTTTTACCCACACTAACTGCTCCCTTGATCCGATTGCCCGCCATAACTGATGACAAATGTAAGGATTCTGTTCAGATAGGATCAGATCTCGGATGGTGAGCCAGTGATTCCCGCCCCTCGTCATGGCAAACATGTTATAAAAGATAGATTAGAATCAAATGAATGCTACCTTTACATACAACAAAATCACAAGACACAAATGTTTTCAGCAAGTCACACACTGATTCTGCGTGCCGCCTTGTAACATAATCAGTACCACAGACATTGCACGCCACGGAACGTGGAAAAGCATTAGAAATCAATATCATCAATATACTGGGTCAGCAGACTAAGTCATAAGAAGACGCGTCTAGTCGTTAGCACACAGGAATAGTCAGAGGTGGATGCTTTCAGTCAGAGGTGCGTTTCACATTTACATGACTTGCTGCCAATGGAGAGGTCACAAGAGAAAGCTGAGTGGCCACATGATCTATTATAAGTAGCCATTGCCAGCTCCCAGTCACATGACTGATTACAAGTAGATCGGTCACATGATGAACCACTGCAAGTAGGTTTTGAAAGGCCACATGATCTATTCCTCGACCATCTACACTTCCCATCACCTGCAAACTAATAGTTCACGTGGCTCAATAAAATGGTGGCAATGGTGATATTCCACAACAGTTGGAAGTTGAGCTGTAACCCATGCCCATTCTTCTCTACATCTTCCAGCTGTTAGGTGTAGCTGGACATCAGGGAACAACTTCCAGCATGGGATCACCTATTTGTTCCATCCTGTGAAAAACACCTGAAAATGATCTTCAGACCACTTTTGCCTTTGTCAACAGAAGTGACATCACGCTGGGCACTACCAAGATTTACGTAGTAGTGAAGCTCCTTACATCAATGACCAGTTCACAATATGGTCTCCATCTGAAACTTTAATAAAGGTTATGTTATTCTCTCCTTGTATACAAATATCTCCTTCAGATACGTTGCACCCCAGTATACCGATTCAATGGAAAGTTAAATACCCCCAATCATTAGAGGTGATAAATTCAGTCTGCCTTCTTGCAAAGATTGTTTTTATCCTAATATAAATAAAGTTCTGAAACAAAAGGTTCAAAAACAAAATCCCAAAAAATGCAAAGTTAGTGGCCATTGATGCGGTATGAATGGTGAGCTTATTAGGTCTGTCCAGTGCATGAAACAGCAAAGAGACCCCAAACAAGTTCTGTGATGAGGGTCGAAGAGATGAGCGGCTCCCAAGGGAAGAAGATGGGCCCTTGCTTCCTTCGTCTTCTTCCCTCCATTTTTTCTTGGAGCCTCCCAACAGTAAGAAATCCGGTTAAAGCGGAGACAACTTGTTAATAACTTAAAAGTCCTCATCTCCGTCTTCTATCCTCAGGTTCTTATTTCTTGTGACGAAACCACATTTTACTCCCTATGGAAAGAAGAAAAATATAACTAGACAACCAAATAGTATAAAGAGAAAGCAATTTTGCACTTTATACAAGCCTGACATTTCTAATGAGGCAGGGAGAGAAAATAATTGAACAGCACACACACACACACACACACACACACACACACACACACCTGAGAGGCAAGTCTTCCCTAGACATAATACCAATGACACCACCAAGATACAATATGCTAAGAAATCATACGTGTGCCCCCAATGTAACTGATCTGCTAATGGGGTGCAGTCAGAGCCATTCAGTGGGTAGACATTACCAAATAAAAAAATGCATGCCTTTTCCAGATTACCTATTCTATTGAAGAACTTGTTGACTCCGCTCTGCTCCCCTCCCGGCAGAGTCTCCAGATATTCCTGGGCCCTGACCTCAAAGAGACCTGTAAATACAAACAAAATTGCGGTTGAGTTCGGCATCTTCCGTACACACCCAGAATCCTTTGTGCTCACAGCTGTTTCGGCATCTGCGGGGGCTGCACAGCAAGCTCCCAGGGGCTGGGATTTCATGTCAGCAAAGCAACAAAAGACAACAGGAAAGGAGGATAGGGGTGAGAGCACCGACAATACTACTGTTGTATAATGGATTCTGACGTTTTAGTAATTTGCGCAAATCATTGTTTTCCTCCATTTGACTTAAGGTTGTATGTAGGATGTTTTGATGTCAAAATAAAGGGTTCCAAATATAGAGCTTCCATCAAAATAGTCTTATATAGTTCACCTGGTAGCAATTTTTGATTGCTTCAAAAAGGCAGCTGATGAAGCAGTCTGTTCAATTCAGAAAGCCAAGTTTATTTCAAAGCTGATTTACCGCTCATTAACCACTCAGGCTGCATTCACACATTGCTCTGGGATTCCTGCCGCAAGAACGTATGAATTTTTGCGGCATGAATACCAGGTGTCATTCGGATGGGGCTGCTGCATCAGTAAGTAAACTACAGGGTGACAGTGGCCGCATCTGTCAGCAGCAGTCCACATGTAATAGCTCACGGAACAGATTGTGTCCAGCGACAAACATTTATTCCAAACCGCAGGTAATAGTACCATGTGCGATTACATGCGGACTGCTGCTGAACGATGCAGCTGCTGTCACCTATTAACCTGATTGGATACAGCGGCTGCATCTGAATGGGCAAACCTGAGATTACTCCTGCAAGAATCTAAGTTCTTGCCGCAGGAATACCAGCGCGCACATACAAGCCCCATGTGAATGCAGCCTAAGAGTCCAACTAAACTAGCAATCTAAAGGTGCCCATACACCTTACGACCATCGCAAGACTTATGCCTTGCGATGGTCGTATGCTTATTGAAAGCTCGTACGATCTGCCCACCTTGGACGGGCAGATCGTACTTGCGATCATCGAAAGCCCGCCCCGCTGAGGGGCGGGCTTCCGATGACCGCAATGCAGAACGGGCAGTGTGCGCGTGCGCACACTGGCCCATTCCGCAGCTATCGGACGAGCAGGCCAGAAACCCGCCGACAATCGTACGATTCTCGGCGGGTTTTCGAGCATGTTGGTTCGACAAAAGACGTGCGACCGTACAGTAGAAACGGTCGCACGTCTTCGTTCACACTGCTCGATTCTCGTACGATCGCGGGATTTCGCCCGATTCTCGTACGAGAATCGAGCAGTGTATGGCCACCTTTACTGGAACTTCCTACTGTCCTGCCTAAACAGAACAGGCAGGGAGAGGGAGGAGTAACTGCTGACACATTCACTTGTGATCGCAAACTTCAGCCTGTGCTATTGGGCTCCCAATAGACAGCCAAGGTTAGACTGAGAAACATGTAAAAAGAAGCCAATCAAATATCTTAAATGTTTTTAGGTGTGTTTCTGGCAGGATTAGGTGAAAAGAAATGAAAAAAGCCTGATGAAAGAAAAAACTAATGCAGCCACCACATCTAATGAGTAGATGAAGGAAATCAATTACAGAATAAGCCACCTAGAAACAAGAACTGCTTTGTTTTCAGTAAGTCAGGTTTACTGGGGAACACCTGAATTTGCACCGACTGACCTTTGGTTCCCTGTTTCCTCATTTCTCTTTCCTGCGTAAAGCCTCCAAACATTTGAGTCTCCATGAAGACCTCCAGAAATCGGCGGACGCTCTTGGAGGACACAGATTTGCGAAAGGCCTCCCGGACGAGTGTCCTTTCATCCTGCTCTCCAGGGACCATGAACAGAGAATAATGGCCGACTATTTCCACAAAGAAGCGCACAAAGGCTTCCGATACCACGTCGTTGAGCGCGTTGGAATCTGGAGAACAAATTTATATTGATGAGCTTATGCTGAGATTTAATGCTAATCTGTTGCTCCTGCAATAAAGTTATATTCATATTTCTGATGCCCGATTATGTTATACTGTGTTTATTATGTGTGAATTCTAAGACTTGGTAATTTTATTCATTTGTAGTTTCTTCTAACTCCACCATATAGTAAGCCAGGGTCCACCAGAAGGCCAGACTTAGATTGGCCCACGAAGGGTGAGTTGTGGGCCCATTCTCTATTTTATAAAAACTTGAATGTAGAACGGTGGCCTGTAACTGCCTTATAACTATACGCAGTCTTAGCAAAGATCCTAATGCTGGATTCCTCCGATTGGCACAAGGTCCTCCAACCAAACCTGCAGAAGGCTTATGAAAAAAAGGACTGTGTTCTTGTCTATTAATGTACAGCTTCAAAGTCTTGTAGTGGAACTATAAAGACCCCAGTTTGGGGCCACATAATATAAATGGAACAAATATTTAGATTTTAAATTGGACCTGTAGAACTTTAAAAGGTTTTCTGACGCAGATTACAAAATCAAGCCCTAGGTCTGCTCTTTGGCCAAAAAAAAAAAAGCTACAGATGGGATTATTGAAGGGACAAACATTTCTATTCTTAGACTAGGTTAGAACCGCTGCCATTTACCTTGCTGGCCATTTGCAGAAATGTCTATATCACTGGCCAGCTCATTCCTCTGCTCCAGGATCTGTTCCAGAGCCGCTTGCAGTTTCCGGGGGAGAATGGACTCTTCGTCGTCCATCTAGAACACATACGGGGGGGAAAAACATTCATGATTGCAGTTCTAAGGATAACTAGACTGCAGACACTTGCATTGTTAGAGGAACAGAGATGCAAACTTTACCAAAGCATCCCCAAAATTCCGAGAATGATAGAGGAGAGGAGAAGGGGGGGGGGGATCTTTAGTACTTGATTCCAGAGTGCACAATGTTTTGGCAGAAAATGTCAGCTTAGAGGTTCCTCGAGGTAAACGTGCGACTCCAGACAAACAGCTAAATGCGTAGTTTAAGTATATTACATTTCATGTATGTTTACTGGTTTACCTGCCAAAGGATTTAAAATTCTGTTCACCCAGTCTTGTACTTCACATACATCTGCCAAACTGACCAGCCAGGAAAGGTGTAAATGTTCCTGGTGCAGCAAATGTGACTGAAGGTTAATGAGCGGGTACATAGTCTACAAGGCAGTAAAGCTAAACCAGCAAAGTAACATTGAGCCAGGAAGTAGTAGTGTGTGCGGTATGGCAGAGGTGAGTACATTGCAAGATTGTCTGAGCAAAGTGACAAATCCTTTGGCAGGTAGAACAATAACCATTTATGTCTCTCAGCTGTGTATTTAGCCGTTTACCTAACCATCCACCTTAAAGAGGAACTCCAGGCATTGTATAAACTAACCCTGGCGCTGGGGCTACTCCCACCCAGCAAGGGTTAAAAGAGAACTATGGGGTAAGTGTTTTTCCCCATAGTTCTCTTGTGGGTCACAGAAGGACATATACTAACCTCCTCCTGTGACCCAAAGCTCAGAATATCGCAAGCTACAGCTCGCGGTATACTGAGACCGCCGTCGCCGGGACGGATCCTGACAATACTTTCAAGATCCACCCAGCTGCGTGAGTGACAGCTGGCTATGCCTATCTAGAAGCAGAGCCAGCTGTACCCGCCCCCTCCCCCGTCCGTTCCTCCAGTCAGCGCTGGAGGATTGGACAGGGGAGGGGGGAATCCCTGCAGGGAGCCATGAGTGACAGTCATCACTCCCTGCAGGGTGATGATCGAGAAGTGAGCGAGCAACGGTATATGGTCCCTCACTTCCCGATCTATTGAGCCAAAGGTGTCACACGTCGGCTCGTACTATGAGAAGGAGTGATTTTCACTCACCTCATAGTTCTCCTTTAAGTGCTTGTTTTGTCTAGGGGCTTCCCCCCCGGGCTCTGGTGGTCTAAGGACCTGTGACATCACATCGGATTCAGATCCATTAGACGTGAGGGTGCCAAGGGACATTCCATTGCCGGAGCAGAGGGGAAGAGAGGCGAGTGCTGACCGTTGCAGAACCGAGTATCAGGCGAGTATCTCTTTATTCCAGCCCCTAGAGAAAAACAAGCAGTTAACCCTTGCACTGCGGGGGTAGCCCCACTGTAAGGGTTAGTTATTATAATTCCTGGATTTCTTCTTTAATGGATTAAGTCATAAAGCTTCTGCTCAGCCCAACGCTGTGCGAATGCCGTTCGCATGGCATTCCCATCATGAGATGGAGGTAAAGATTGTTTATGCTCCTTGGCTCCATCTAGTGATGGGAATGCTGTGTAATTGGCATTGGCCAACGTATGGCTGGATGGATGATTTCAAAATCAACCCCTAAGTGTTGGGTGTAATTCATGGTTAGACCTAGGGGTAAGGGTTAATTTATTTAAGTTTGCTCAGGAGAACCTCTAGGTCTAGAAGGTACTATACATATATTTTATCTTTTGGGTGTATCGCGTATGTTTTCCCACGTGTGAAATTTGTTTCTCTTCCTTACAAAAATTCTTTATGAGGAACATATATAAAACCGGCACAGCCTGATAACTGACTACTTCCTGTAAGCTGTACAAAAGTGCGACTTGGGTTGTCTTCTCCTTTCTATTATGAATGAGAAGTAGACAGCAGACCTTGTAGCACTGACAGTCCACTCACCTGTCTCAGTAAGCGATCGTTACCAAGGTCAACCAGGAGAACCTGCGGAGGAACAAAACAAAGGTCTATCATTTCCTGGTTCTGGGGAGGGGGGCTTTCCAGTTCCCTCTTCAACATTTGCCCTCCTTCCTGCTTCGCGTACTGTCGGCAGCGGCTGGGTCCAAGCCATTCCGGCAGTGTACACATCCTCAGCTGTGGTTTGAGGTTTCCCTACCACTGACCAGAAATGACAAATCCCTTCAACGTCCTGGAGCCGGTCCAGTCACTGGCCAGCCACTGCTTTCCACTCACGCTGAACAAATGCTGAACAGGGACATCAGGAGAACGAAACTGGGCTGATTGAAGGAGATCTCCAGTTAGAGAGATTCTCTATAAAGTAGATCTAAACCCATTCACTTAACCATGCAGGTAAATGCAGGAAAAAAACAATATGTTCAATGCCTACTTGCAGTGTTTTTCCATCCATATACATTTTTTGCTTAATTTGCAATGCAAATCTGAACTTGCTAAAGAAATGACTCTAAAAAATGTCAGTTCCCTAGCAGAACACCCTCCCTCCTTTCACATCATAGCCTTCTCCTCTTCTGGGTGCGTCTAACTACTCTGTGCTGGCCCAGCTCCTCCTCCCATTCCCTCACCTCCCTACATACCCTTTTTATGTAGCAGGGGGGGGAGGGGGGGAGCAAAGAAGAATAATATAGAGAGTCACTTGAGTCTGCTGGGGTTGCCAACATCACATCCAAGATGGAGACACCCAGCAGCATCTCAGGGTTTTAGATATCTACACAAGGGAGGCTTTTACATGTAAATAACATGCATAAAACATGTTAACTGCACATATAATCTTATGGGAAGATTTCTGTTGAAATTAATGGCAACAGGGTCTCTTTAAAGTGTATGCTTTAAATAGGAGTCAGGGAAGGATTAGAACTCCTGTTGAGTTTTTACTGCTATCTAGGGCATTGTTAGAGAAATTTACTGCGTCACTTCCTGTCCTCCTGACAAGGAGTTTCACTAGACAGGAAATGAGCAAAAATCATCAAATGGCACACCAACAGAATTCTGAAAAACGTCTGCCCTTCCCCCACTAAAGTATAGTGTTTTTATTTGTCTGTGTTGCTGTTGAAGAATTCCCCTTCACATCCTGTCTGGTAAAATGTTGTCAGCAGGACAGGAAGTAAGGAGACTCTCTCTAATGGAGCCCCGGAGAGCAGTGAATAACTAATGTTTCCTCACTCTACCCAAAACTAAGAAGAAGACTTGGTTGGACGTTGACTTTGAAGCATGACATTAATTTCCAGCTACTCCTCCCCTCCTTTGGACCTCTCCAGGGAATGACAGCTTATCATTTACAGCCATACACAGAATGGTGTTGTTTTTGGCATGCGAGTCCCTCTTCTGCCTCAGGAAGCCATTAGTTAATTACGGTAATTATTTCTCTCTTGTGAAAACTGGGCCACTGACTGAGTGCCAGAATCAGCATGATACAATGTGTTCATCTGTCAGCGATGTCCACAGATGAGCCGGCATGCTGAGAAACATCCCGATACAAAACAATTCTTTGAGAGAAAGACGGATATTCAAATCGTGATCAACACCGCTATTTGGAGAAATCCACTAGACGTGGTTTATATCTATAAATGTGACACGGTGTTTACCCGGTTGTACTTTTACTAGAGAAAAAAAAAAAATGACCTTTATGTGAAAAACGCTCTACCCTTGCACTTGGGGTGGTGGGAAAGTTATTAAAGTGACATTAAAGGCTAATTTTGTTTTCCCTCCCCCCAATGTTAGGGTCAGGACTTACCTTAAATGATGCCTCTTAATCCGATCATCTTCTTTAGTGTAGTTTTCAGCTGTCCCACCAGCGCTGGTGGGTCTCCGATCCAGCGCCGTCTCCTCTGTCCTCCTTCTCTCATGTCCCACGCAGTCTGTGCGGGTGCATGCTGCTCCATAGACATACCTTGTGTCTCTCCTCGTCTCCCGGCCCAACATCTGAACTGCGCATGCGCCCGCCCCAAGATCCTTTGCAGCCGCCCGAGAAATTTTCAGATGTTTGGACAGGAGCGCACAGCGGAGACTCAGGTAAGTTAACCCTTTGAAAAAGTTTTTATTTTTTTTTATAGTTTTGCATATATCTAGTGCTTGTTTGCACTAGATATATGCAAAAACATGCAAGGGTTTAATAACCCTTTAAGTTTTCACTTTCTTTGCAGGAAACTAGTGAGAAGCTGAAATGCTAGTAGCGGTCTGGCTGTTCAGCCTCAGGCTTCATAATTCTGCAAATCTTTTGCCTGGTAAAAGTATGTAGATCAGGAGCTGTGACTTCACGGACTCAAATAACTGACAAAATGAGCAGAAATTAATTACTGCCCATTGTGAGCAATGAGATTACAATTTAATTATCTTCAAGAATAAAAGATGAAACCTGATTGGCCGCTATGAGTAACAACTCCAGTTTTTTATTTTTTTATAGAATTATATGAAATTACTGTACTGAAGCCAAATGATTAGCATGGTGTCCATAATCCCCTTCATATTCCTCTCAGAACTGACTTTTTTAATAAGCCTAAGACAATAATGCTTGTTGTTGTATATCCAATGAGTACAAAAAACTTCTGCTCTAGGCCACCAAATATTTAAATCATTTGGCTTAGATACAAGATTGTAAACAAATAAATCTGCGCTTCTGGGAAAATAAAATTTAGTAATAAATTAAATTAATAAAGTAAGAATAAATGTGAATAAATGTGAATAGTTATACCCCAAGCTGCTCTGAAAAAGGTGGAACCTAGTATGATCAAAAGAAACAAAGCGCTAAAGGTAGCTGTATGAGCAAAAAAATAAGCTATAGCTTATTTTTTTGCTCATACAGCTACCTTTAGCGCTTTGTTAGATACAAGATTGCTGGCACAATAAGACACACTGTTTAGTAATCAATAAATAGCTAGGAATGATTAACTTCATTGTGCAAATGTGTGTAAAAGGCCTCTTTGTAGCCGGTGCTTTCCCACATCACGGGTCTTACTAAACCTGTGCTTTATCAATTTTAATCATGCAAAAGAAAACTGTTAATGTCAGAAGTGATATTTGAATAGAAAGAACCAGCCTGTACTGTCACCAATGCATGGAAAAAGCTGAATGCGCACTTAGATTTGGATTTCAGCTATCCTATTCCTTACATAAGACATACATAAAAAGTGGAACGTCAGGATTTAATAATAGAGGGGAAATGTATCTTTTCACTTAGAATGAGATGCTGTAATGTTACTGCATTGACATCTGACATCTTCAAAACATAGCTAGCATTTTATAGAAGTGAAGACAGCTGGAAGAAAAGGCTGAATGTAAATCCTCAAAGGCAACCAAAAATCAGCACGATTCATTATGCATTGTCTGCCCTAAAAGGGGGAACTTGACTGACAGCTCACCTCCTCCACAGGAAGGTCCTTCAGATGGGGCAGGGAATTGGACAGCAGACCAATCAGGAATGGAGTGGGCGAACAGACGATGTCAATCATGGCTGGGGGAAGCACGGGAATGTAGGTATGTTGCCAGGTAAAGGGGTATATTAATGCAACCATAGCATGGCAGCATTTGGACAAGGTGCTAGGGAAAAACGAAAATTCAAAAATGTTAAAAACTGTTAAGAAAAAAAATCACTGTCAGAATAAATCAGAAATATCTTGTGTTAAATGTATAGTATATAGGAAAGATCTTAGGAATATACAAGACACAAACCCTAACACCGCAGAATTTATTCCCTCATAGGCTAAAGTTAGCCATACATGGCTTGTTTACTCTCATTTAGCCCACGTCATCATTCTGCTGCAGGTAAGAGCAAGCACTTCCTTGGTCTCTTTCAAACTGCCAGCTTGTATTCACAGTCATCATAAGTCCCTGTTTACATCTGCGATTGGACGGATTGCAGATTCGATCGGGCAGATTGCACGAGCTTCACATATTCCTCCTTCAGGCTGGGTTCACACCATTGCCCGGACCAGATCTGGAATGCAGGGGCCCATTGACACCAGATCATCTCCAGACCAAATTGTTTCCAGACCTAAAATGCATCCTAATGTATCCCTATGCTATTTCTGGCCTCTGCGCAGTCCATTCCAGATCAGAAAAATACTGCATGTCTCATTTTGTCCGGTCTGGAATGCACTGAAACGCATGGAAACACATCAAAAATGCATACAAACTCACTGGAACGCACCTGAAAGCCCATTTTAAGCTAAAAAATAAAAAAAGCTCCGGAATGCGGCAAAATCGCAGCAAAAATGCACTGCGTTCCAGATCTGGTCCGGGAAATGGTGTGAACTTGCCCTGAGACTCATGTATAATCAAATGACAGCTGCCACCACCTGCAGCATTTGTGAGTAAATGCACATAATTCGCACAAATTGCGAATATCTGCGGATGGTGCCAAATGTCATTGAATTATACAGCTCCTCCCACCCAAAGACTGAGGAATCATATGATTGGTTTAATTCGCAAACATAAAAAGGGGCCTAAAGTAATCGCTGGACAAAGCAGCAAATGCACTCCTTTGTCATAAAATAAAACAGCAGCTCTCCGCTTTACTTATAATGGAGCAAAAAGAGATGGATGTCTTTGGACAAAGAAATCGAATACGCCTTCCATAAAGGACTTGTGGTGTTAAAGTGGACCTTTCATTAAAAGGAGAACTATGGGGTCAGGGCTTTTCCCCATAGTTCTCCTTAGGGTAACGGGAGGACACAAACTAGCATCCTCCCGTCACCCTTGGCTCAGTATACCGCGAGCTACAACTGTACGGTATACCAAGACGCCGCAGCGGATCCCGACATCGATGTCGAGATCCGCCCAGCTGCGTGAGTGACAGCTGGCTCTGCCTATCTAGAGGCAGAGCCAGCTGTACCCGCCCCCTCCCTTGTCCGTTCCGCCAGCCAGCGCTGGCGGATCTGAGCGGGGGAGAATCCATCCCCTCCCGTCACGGCAGAGAGCCGTGACAGGATCGAGAAGTGAGCGAACACCGGCATGTGTTCGCTCACCTCCCGATCTACTGAGCCGACCTGTGACAGTCTCATCATCACAGGTCGGCTAGAACTATGAGGTGAGTGAAAAGCACTCACCTCATAGATCTCCTTTAAATGTACAAGTCTACATGAATACATTTCCAACCTGTCAAAATATTCATTTGATTGATCTTTAGTTCAGTGGCTTGGCCTAAGCTGAGATGATGTCATCAGTCTGCTGCAGGCAGGAGGAAGCTTTTCCTCAGTCTCCTCTCACCCCCCACCATTATCAGACTACAATGTTGTAACTTTGTAGAAAGTCACAAGGGGCACGGCTGCAGCAGGGGCTGATCTGTGTCATCAGTTCTTCTGGAGAGAAAAGCATATGAAGGTATTGTTAAGGAGAGTATTGTGATCTCTGAGGGGTAATCAATATTATTTAGCAAGCATGCACTTAAAGTGAATGCTAGGTCAACTTTAAGTAGACTTTTGTACTACATAGTTCTTGGTAAGCTTAAAAGTGATTGTACAATGGCTGTAAAATCAGATTGTAAAGCATGCAGCCACTTCTGGGAAACCGCAAAAGATTTAACATGACAGTAGCCATATAGCACTCATTTAAGTTGCTCCATTAGAGTGTATCCCCAACACCAAGAAATGAACTCGAGGGGCAGGTAGTTAAAAGGAGTTGAATTTTTTTTAAAAAGAAACTCCAATCACAAGAACTATAACACGGAATTTCAGACTGTCAATTCGTTACGCAATGGAAAATCTGATCTCTCATTTGCCGGGCAGTGCTCCTAGGCCTTAAGAAAAGTTTAATAAGTCCGGACAGTTTGTTTCTACTTTTTGCGAGATTAAATAAACAGGCGAAAGCGGCGATCTACATATGTGGCTTGACAGTATCACTAGTCGCCTGGAACACTGACATTCCTGGAAAAATGCCCAGAATCCCACTCCGCGCACACAACATTTTATAATTATACGCTAGGTGACATCACAGTGGAACGCTATAATGTTTACTTCCATCTCCATGGCAACACAACAGGAAGAGAGCGGGAAAATATTCATGGCGTTAACCCTGGAGCAACCAAGAAATTAGTGAAGGCCAAAATAAGTTAACGTGAAAATACTTATCAAAAGAGGAAGTTTTAAGTTAATACAGGCCAGGGTCACCAGATTAGGAGAACAATGTCTTGCAGAGATAGCACCAGGGACTATATAGCAGCAGCGCAGGTGATGGAATGAGTTTGGCATTGTAAATGGCCTCATGGTTTCCCCGAATTTTTAAGGCAATATTAGGACAAAGGAGATCATTTGCTCATAAACATATATGTATAGGATTTGATGTGTCACCTGTATTCCTTTCTTCTCTCCCTTCCTTATCGGTTTCATCCCCTTCTGTACTACCTTCCCCTCTTTCCTTACCATTCTCTGGTTGCCCTGGTTGCCCCCCCCCCC